GGACGACAGAGGATGAGATGGTTGGATGGCATCACCGACTCGATGGACATGGGTTTGGGTGGACTCCGGGAGTTGGTGATGGACAGGGAGGCCTGGCATGCTGCAGTTCATGGGGTTGCAAAGAGTCAGACACGACTGAGCGACTGAACTGTAACTGTGAACTCTTAGTTGCGGCATGTGGGATCTAGTTCTCTGACCAACAATCGAACATGCGTGCGTGCTAACTCACTTCAGTCGTGTCCGACTCTTTGCAACCCCATGGACTATAGCCCAACAGGCTCCTCCTCTGTCCATGGAATTCTCCAGGCAAGAATACTGTAGTGGGCTGCCATGCCCTCCTCCAGGGCATCTTCCCAACCCAAGGATGGAGCCGAAGTCTCTTACATCTCATACATTGGCAGGCGGGTTGTTTACCACAAGCACCATCCGGGAAGCCCAGCTGAACTTTGGGCCCCCGCATTGGGAGAGCAGAGTCCTAGCCACTGGACCACCAGGGAAGTCCATCCTGCTGTTCTTTGCATCAGCACCAAGAAAGATTTCCTGATATACATCCTAAGGTCTGTGAACTGCGTTCTTCACATGTTGACCAAGTCCAGACCCCAGGGCTCACCTCGGAAGCCATCTTCTCTATTCATGTGGCTCAACCCCCCAACTCTTAAGCTCCCATAGCCTGGTCACTGGAGTCAAATAAGACAATTCCATCCCTTTGCTGATACTTCCTGAAACCCACTGTGATCTGCCTTTTGCAAACACTGTCACAACTCAAGAGAGATTGTCATTGTCTCTCCTCCAGGAATGAGTAATAGATGGGAGGCACACCAAGTGCCTGACAATAATGATGAGTGTGACAGGTGAGAAGGGGCGATGAAGACATCAGTCATGGGTGCAGAGAGGGCCCAGGCGGTGCTGAAGTGGACAGAGGCTGCGGAGAGCTTCCAGGAAACAGAACCGGAGAGGGCTACACGGGAGGATTAACTCTTCCGTGCAGGTAAAGCAACCCAAGGCTCTTGGAGTCTCGTTTCTGAGTATACACCATACCAAACATCACACTACAGGCTAATCTGTCTCAGTCAGAAAGTATCCAGAAACATGGACTTCCACACACTGGCATTTTTCTGATGAGAAATCAACGTGATGTTCTTCAGACAAAAGCTACATGACCAGCAGCCTGTGATGTGAGGCAGATGGATACACATACATGCACGCCTACACACACACACATGGGGAGCCTTACAGTGATGCTGGCCAGAACAATGGTCACCGGTGAATGTACTGATTAGAGACTGAGTCAAAAGAGATGAAAAGACCGCCCCAGCCTTGGAGTCGATCACCAGGCCCTGTAGCCCACGAGACCGTGACCTGGATGCAGATTCTACTGGGTCGGCTGCTTTAGTCAACCCCAAACCCACTCCGTCCCACCAACTCACATTAACGGTGTGGCAGATAAGCCCTCTGCGTCTTTCTTCAGATGAACAGATACCAAGTCAAGTATTACCACCGCTGCCATGTACAACTGTGAGGATGCAGATTCACCTGCTTGGGGAGCTTCCCAGGTACGCTGAAACTCATGCTCCAGACCAGTGCCGCTGTTCATTTAAGAACCACCTGCAGGCTCCCCTGGCGGCTCAGTGGTTAAGAATCCACCGGCCAACGCAGAGGACATGGGTTCCATCCCTGATGCAGGAAGATCCCACGTGCCGTGGTGCAACCAAGCCCACGTGCCACAACTACTGAGCCTGCGCTCTGGGCCCGGGAGCCACGGCTGCTCAGCCCACATGCTGCAAGTGCTGAAGCCCGCAGACCCCGGAGCCCGTGCCCCACAGCAAGAGAGCAGCCCCCGCAGCCACAACCAGAGAAAGCCCAGGCGTGACAACGGAGACCCAGTGTGGCCTAAACCAAATAAATCAATCTGAAAGAAAAACATTTGCTACAAGGAGGCCCACCAGTTTCCACACCAAAAAAAATGACCACATGGAGGGGATATATGTATACCTGTGGCTGATTCATGTTGAGGTTTGACAGAAAACAAAAGCCTGTAAAGCAAGTATCCTTCAATAAAAAAGTAAATTAATTAAAAAAAACAACAACCACAGACAAATGCCCAAACCCACCAGGGTTGGCTGCGGAGGTCAAATCTCTATTTTAAATCTCCTGAGGGGTGGCTGACCACGCAGGGTGTTGTCATGTAGGGAAGACAAGCAGTGAATCGCTGGGGCTTCTTACACATGGCTACTCTCAAGACCCCAAGCCTCCAGCCTGTACCCCCGTACACCTGGGCCCCAGCACAGTCCATCCTACCCCCGCCACCCAGCGGGGCTTCTGCCACCTTCCAGACTCCTCAGAATCCAGACCCAGGCAAGGAGGACCTTTAGGAAGGCGAGTGTCCCGTCCCCCTCATCCAAGGTTCACCTCCTTACACATGGCTACTCTCAAGACCCCAAGCCTCCAGCCTGTACCCCCGTACACCTGGGCCCCAGCACAGTCCATCCTACCCCCGCCACCCAGCGATCCCGTCCCCCTCATCCAAGGTTCACCTCCCGCGTCTCCATGGCCCATCCCGGGATGACCCACGACAACCAAGTACACGCTCTTGGGGAAAAGACCCAACATACAGAGGTCAGCCTCGCCCTCCCGTCAACCCTAGAGCCTGTTTCCCTAAACGGAATCCAGAAAAAAAAAAAAGCACAACAAACTCATGGTCACAACCCTGACAGTGCTCACAATACATGGGGGAGAAAGATGGGTTTATGAGGCAGTGAGTGCAGACTGGGAGCTGATGGGCTGAGACACGTGCAGTGTCTGCAGAGAAGCCAGGAGCCGCCTCTGCCTGAGGGTTTAACATTAGACGTGGTCGCCAAGCTGACCCACAGGGGACAGGCCGCCTGCAGGTCAGCAGTGGTGCCCCCGCCCCAGGCAGAGGCGACGTGACAAAGGCCACAGCTGACCCTTCCTCCCGCTAAGTGTGCGTGCGCCTCTGAGAACACTGTCTCCATCACCGCTGTTCCCCCAACAGCGGCCCCCCAGCACAGAAGTCTGTCTTTACCAGCAGCTCAGTACATTGTGGCTGAGGGAAATAAATCCAGCTTATGAATTATTACTTCCAATATGTCCATCTGAAATGTGTTCTCCTCGGGTCTTCATGACGGTAAACACTGGGCTGAGCAAAAGATGAAGTATTCATCACATAAATAAAATCAGAAAGAAAAACTCACTTCACTGAAATATAATTTACAAGAAATACCCCCGGATATCAACTCTTAAGTTAAAAAAAAGAAATCGTTACTCACCTATGTCATTTTTCTTTGATATATCACTTTTCTCCAAATTCTGTATTTTAAATAAAAGAGAAAAAGATCAATCTCATCATATAAAAAAAACTTCAATACATGAAATAAACATGTATGGTACATATTAACATCCTGGGGACAGACATGGAAAATAAGAGCTTGGAAGTGCTTCCCTAAAGAAACAGACAAAAATTAAGGAGGGAAAAGCAGCAGTAATATACTTCTGCATCAGAACAGAAGACTCCTATGGGGCTGTTCCTCTCCTACGTGATCTTGGGCAAGTCACCGAATTGAGCTGAGGCTCTTTCTTCTCATGTAAAATGGTTCACAATGTTCCTGGGAGAGATCGTTTTAAAATCTGATACATGGTAAGCATTACAAACACATCAGGATTGTACCCATTCTGACTGTGCATTCCTTGTGAAGATGGGCTCTACCAAACACCATATTTATCATTTGGGGGGCTCAGACATGCTGCTATCAGCAATGTCACCACCGTATTCTCTCCTACCTGAGAAGCAGCCCTGGGGCGAGGGGGTTAGCCTGGGGCTCACAAGATTTTCTGAGCACGGAAGGGACCTCTCAGAGCCGCAGAGCTTCAAACACAGAAACGTGGACGTGGGCGCGTGAGCACGGATGTACCTGATCCTGATCAAACCAGCTCCTCAAAAACTCCTCCAACAAAGTGCAGAGTGTCAGCAGCTAAATCTGCCATCTTCATTGTCTCCTCTGGCAGAAGGAATTCTCCCTCTAATTGCCCCTTTCCATTTTCAACCGCCATACACTATAATTATGACAATTGGACGGTAGCAAATATCCTTCCATTTCCCTCACGACTCCAACAAGAAATGCAGTCATGAGCCGTTATCAACAAAACATCGGCAGCTTACAAGCCAAGATACTGCCACCGAGACATGTCCTCTCAGGATGCAGGAGGGACTGTAACTGTAACAGCAGACGGGGGAAAGGACACAGGGGAACGGCCACCTTCAGCAGCATTTTATGAAATTCGCTTTGTCTCAGGAGTAGAAATAGCACCGAGAGGAGAAGAACCTCAGAGTTATGTACTGATCTGCTTGCTACACCTCGGGGTCAAGTGACACTTGACCTAATGATGATAAAACACATACTTTTCAGAAGAGCCGCTAAGAAGACTGGAAGGCTCAAGCCACTTCCCTAAATGTGCTCAACCAGAGCCAGGCTAGCATCCTAGGTTGGCACGTGTGGACTCACTGACTCTCTGGCCAGGAACGTGGCCTGAGCCTGGGGACGGAGCCCTTGGCTTCCCCTTGGCCAGGCTGCCTCCTCCTTTCCAGGCCATGCCTTTGGCTGCTAGACACAGATTATAGAAAACTGGAAATTTCAGATCCTAAAGTAGCACTGCAATGGATAAAGAAACTGTGGTCTCTTTGTACAATGGAATATTAATCAGCCTTAAAAAAGAAGGGAATTCTGGGACTTCCTTGGTGGTCCAGTGGTTAAGAATCTACCTGCCAATGCAGGGGGCATGGGTTCGATCCCTGGGTGGAAAACTAACATCCCACATGCCACACGGCAGCTAAACTTGTGTACCACAACAAAGATCCCACAGATTCCGAGTGCCGCAGCTAAGACCCGAAACAGCCAAATAAATAAATAAGTAGATTTTTTTTTAAAAAGGAAGGGAATTCTGACACATGCTACAATACGGATGAACCTTGAGGACATGATGCTAAGTGAAATAAGCCAGTCATAAAAAGACAGGGACTGTATGACACCACTACGTGAGGTACCTAGAGCTATCAAATTCAGAGATGGAAAGCAGGGTGGTGGAGGGCCAGGGGCCAGGAGGGGATGCAGAGCTGTGGTTTAATGGGGGCCAAGTTTCAGTTCTACAGGATGAAGGGAGTTCTGGAGACTGCTTGCACAACAGTATGAACATACTTAGCACTACTAAACTGTGCACTTAAAAATGGCTAAAATGGTAAATTTTATGTGTCTTTTACCACAATTTTCTAAAAATAGCATGGGAGACGATCCAACCCAATATTCCCCTTCTGCAGATAAAACAAAAGAGACTCAGAAAAGGGTTAGACAGGATTTGCACATCTAACAGCCATTCTAGCCACAGGCCAGGACTGAAATCCAGGTCTCTGGCTCCTTTCCAGCTTTTATCCCTTACACCTTCCAGTAACGCATGCCCAACCCTCCCCCAGAGGCACTGTTCAGCAAACAGGCATCATGAGATGGAAACATACTTTGAGAGTAAGCTAAAAGATATGCAGAGTACATCATGGGAAATGCCGGGCTGAATGAAGCAGAAGTCGGAATCAAGATCACCAGAAGAAATATCAATAACCTCAGATATGCATATGATACCACCCTGATAACAGAAAGCGAACAGGAACTAAAGAACCTCTTGATGAAGGTGAAAGAGGAGACTGAAAAAGTTGGCTTAAAACTCAACATTCAGAAAACTAAGATCATGGCATCCAGTTCCATCACTTCATGGCAAACAGATGGGGAAACAATGGAAACAGTGACAGACTTTATTTTCTTGGACTTCAAAATCACTGCAGATGGTGACTGCAGCCACGAAATTAGAGGCCTGCTCCTTGGAAGAAAAGCTATGACCAACCTACACAGCATATTAAAAAGCAGAGACATTACTTTGTCAACAAAGGTTCATATAGTTAAATCTACAGTTTTTCCAGTAGTCATGTATGGATATGACAGTTGGACCATAAAGAAGGCTAAGCACAGAAGACTTGATGCTTCTGAACTGTGGTGTTGGAGAAGACTCTTGAGAGTCCCTTGGACTGCAAGGAGATCCAACTAGTGAATCCTAAAGGAAATCAGTCCTGAATATTCATTGGAAGGACTGTTGCTGAAGCTGAAGCTCCAATACTTTGGCCACCTGATGCATAGAGCTGACTCACTGGAAAAGACCCTGATGCTGGGAAAGATTGAAGGCAGGGGGAGAAGGGGATGACAGAGAACGAGATGGTTGGATGGCATCACCTACTCGATGGACATGAGTTTGAGCAAGCTCCGGGAGGTGGTGATGGACAAGGAAACCTGGCGTGCTATAGTCCATGGGGTCTCAAAGAGTCGGACATGACTGAGTGACTCAACAGCAGCAGCAAAAGTATTAATAATACCTACAACAAAAGTCACCTTTACCGGAAGTTACACATAAAAAGTATCCTGAACTCAGTGATTCCAGCCAAGCTGGAACAGGAACTAGACTTTCTGACAGATGCCTTGGCAAAACCAAAGAAAATCAACTGAAATTCCACAGCTTTCTGTTATTAAGCACTGCAGCTCTGACTGCCAGATACAATAGGTACGAAATGACTGACCATTTCAAACAGCTCAATTTGTAAACTGTAAAAATAAAATATCCAAGGATTGCCTGATTTAGGTGAACTGAAATGGAACCAAAATGGTTTTCATTAATTTCTCCTTTGAGAAAGAAAATCAGAGTAAATGGACTAATTGACAGAACATTTAAAATTCTGTCTCCAGCTTCCCTTGTGAAAAGGCTTAGTGGTTTGTTTTATTATCTCTTCTGCTGCGTGTTTCTGACACCATCAGTATCCATCAAAATGTGCTCACTGTCAAAAGTTCTCTAGGTCAACAGAATTGCTACTTAGACAGGAAAGACATCTGCTACCAGGGCACCCACCCCACAGTCAGCTCCTACCCTAGCCAGAAAAACACAGATCTAAGACAAGCCTCAGTGCAGCTTTTATCTACAAAGCACAAGAGATTTGAACACTTGCAATCCATATATGTGATGCTTAGCTTATAAATCCTTCATTAAAAGAAGATTAAAAAAAAAAGCCTCACAAGAATTTGCTATGAAATCTTTTAAGTAGAGAATCAAACTGGCATCTTCAGCTTGATCACAACTAACCACCCAGCCCTGTGTGGAAACTTCTTGAAAGGTTGCATGGGACCTTTCTTGCTGTCATAGCAGGTAAACATGTAAACAGGGAATGGCTCTGCTCTAAATGGCAGACACACAACACAATCTTCAAAACCGCTTTGTGAGGGCAGTCCTGTTACAGATGAGGGAACTAGGCATGAGTGTGTCCTGCCGGGGGTCAGGGTGGGAGAAGGGCCGTGAACCACAGCAGTCTGGCTCCAGAGCCTGGCTCCATGCCTGCGTCCCACAGGGTCCAGTGTCACAGGCCAGCACAGGACGGAAGGCAGGGCAAAGTCACCCTGACAGCTTGGCGGAGGCCATACATAGGATGAGGTGGGAAGGGCAGGCTCCACGGAAAGCTGGGGTGGGCCAGAATTCAGCAGAGCCAGGGACCCGGGAGCCAGGAGAGGCACCTGGGCCAGAGGGCAGGCCCCAGGCGGGACGGCAGGGCACTGGCCGCCTCGGGATTCCTGTGAGGAGCCACCTGATGCCAGCCAGGGAATCTGACTGGCTTGGGGAAGCCCCCCAGCTCTGAGCGGGACTGGCCTGGTTCTCGGGAACCAGGGCACTTGACTGCAGTGAGCAGTGCGTCGAGCAGGACGGAGGGAGGCCTTCTGGGCAGCAGGGACAGCTCCTGGCTGTGCTGAGAGCGATACGCCAATGACAACCCCAGTGAACAGGGTTATTGTCAAGGGCCTTAAGTCCTGTCTCGGGTTCATCTACAGACAGAGTCTGGACGACCTTGGACAAATCGATTCTCCTCCGTCTCCCAGCCTTGGCATGGGCTACAGTAGACATTTCATCACTGCCTCTCCTCAGGGGATTAATGGCTTTTTGGCTCCGTAGCCAAGCACAGATGGGGTTAATGACACTTTTCAAGGACTTTAATACCTTTGCATGAAAAAAAAGACACTAAGATATAGGACTTACCTTATCTCTACTTATATTCATATATGTATTTAAGGCCAAAAATATATGTATTTCCTTTTTTGGAAAGATGAATAAAAACCTATATTTGAAAGTATGTGCTATAATTCCTAAATCTATTATACAAAATTTTAATTCCCTATTAATAACCCTTAAAGTCATAATGAGCTTCATTATGGCCAAACACGTGACAATACACGTGACAACGTAATACAAAATTACAGCATGAAAAATTCAAGGAGTCTGAAAGTGTGGATTCTGACTTCACCTTTTAATAGTCACGTGACCTTGATCAACTCACTTCTCTAAGCGTGTATTTTCTCTGCTCTGTATGCGAGTATCTGCTTTGCTTAGCAATAACACGACCACTGAGAAAAGCAAACCGAAACGTCTGAAATGCTTTATTAACCATAAAGAATCGTAAAACCATAAAGAATTATTCTCATTTCCCTTGTGTGGGAACCCCATGGTAGAGTTAGAACAGATCACACTCTGTTGGTAAAAGAAACATTCTATTTAAAAACGCTTTTATACTAATTGTGGGGTAAAAAAGAGAGTCAACTGAGCCTTAATTAATGCGACAAAAACAACTCATATTTTAAAAATATTCTCTTTCTCAAATGCTAAACTGATCTAATGCAACCCCAAATGGTAAAATTTAGATGCAGTTCTTGAATGCAGCCAGTGATGGGAGAGGAGCAGCTCTGAGATTTGGAAAAATGCTGTTCCCTCTCCATGGGTCCCCCACATCTTTGTTTCAGGTTCTGACTGTACAAGGGGCCTGGTGGTCACCTTTGGGGTCTCTCAGCCAGCCCCCAGGATGCCCTCTCACATAACGTCACCTCAAGGGGAGGGGTACTCAGGGACTTGTGACCCCAACACAGCACACGTTTCACAGGCTGGGAAAACTAGGTCCAAGGTGAAGTCCATGGGGTCTCAAAGAATCAGACACGACTGGGCCACTGAACAACAACCTAAGACGTGGTAAGACCGGAAAAAGTCTACAGTATCCAAGTTAAGACTTCTAAAGTGCCTAGCTCCATATCTGGACACCTTTTTTCTTAAGATAAAATTTAAAACCAAGCGGATCTGCCTTAATAAAGAATTTTTTTTTTTAAGCAAGACTATCTGTGAGTTGCTACTGTGGATTCAAAAATCGATGTTGACCAACATTTCATTAATCCGTTGAAAGATGAAATCATTATAAAAGGATTTTTTTTTTAAAGCAAGACTATCTGTGAGTTGCTGCTGTGGATTCAAAAATCGATGTTGACCAACATTTCATTAATTCATTGAAAGATGAAATCATTATAGCTTCCATTAAAGAAAAAACAGACAAATCTCAGACCGCAAGAATAGATTTGACTTTAGAATTAGTACCTTAGACTGTTTGGCCTCTTTCTTCACATCTTCAGAAACCAAAGCCAAAGCTGAGAGGAAGGGAGAAACAAGAAACATTTGCACATTAAAATCAGCAATTAAGATCCATTCTCATATTCAACAGCTTTGCTTAAAATGGAAAAAAAGTTATACTTAAACAGAATAAATTCTGCTCGTTTTAAAAGCAGCTGCATTGCTGCAAACTAGTACCGAAGGCCGCCTTTCTCCAGACCTAAGAGCATCCACTGGTGTGAAGTCAACAGGTACAGCTTCCCAGTGAAGGAAACAGTGCATCTAAAGAATGAGGATACCATTTGTATCTGTAGCTATAAATCACAGACAGAGGCATACAGAGTACAACTTCCTAGAAACCTGAATTCTGGTGCTTTCCAAAGCAAAGGGGAATTGCTGAGATTCCACCGGGAAGAAGTGCAAATTCCCACTCTCACATCCCTGCCAGAGCCCAACGGGCAGCCAGCGGAGCGAAATCTGGGGCAAGCCATCCGCCTCGGCGGATTCGGGTCAGCGCCGTGGTGCAGAGGCTGCTCCAGGCACGTGGGGAGAGTTACCAGAACCCGGCCAGAGCCCCGGGGCCAGGGGAGAGAGAGGAAGTAGAATCACTCCCCATTTAGAATGACCTTGAGTCGGAGCCCATAAATAGACAAAGATATCCCCAGAGACACATCCAGGCTCTACATTAAAATAATAATAAGCATCCGACAGTAACACATGGAAAATAGGAAGTAAAATGCTAAACCAGGCAGGAAGGTTAACCAGACAAAAACATAATACCTTAACCTTATGGTGCATTTCTCCTGAAAAGCTAAGAGGAAAGCATTTCAGAGTCTGTTTTCTCCAATTAGCATTCCCAAGAGAAAACAATGCCGTGGAGCAAGAAGGTATGAGGGGCTGGCCAGGCAATTCCAGGGAAGAACAGTGCAGCGCAGGGCGCATGGGGGGAGGGCAGGACAGGATTCTAGGTAACGGAGAAGACCCTGCTCGGAAGCAGGAGACAGGACCACCCAGCCTGATGCCTGGAATCCTCCCACCCCAGCCCCAGACATCCACTGCCTCAAATCTAAAACATATTCACACTCGGAAGCAAATGACTAACGAGGTTTAATCACTCCCACTTCCAGGATGACATTTCAGAAGTCAGGTAAAATCCAGATGAACCTCTCTGTGGGCACTGAATCCCAGGTAGCACTGTATGAGGCTCCGGAGAGTACAGTGCCCCCTCCACCCCGACACCCCTCCCCACCCTTCACTCTGCCTTATTCTTCTCCAGAGCACTTACCACCACTGACACAGTCTACAGCTATTTGTTTATTGCTTGTATTCTATGTTAGTTTAATGTAAGCTTCATGAAGGCAGGAATGTGGTTTTATGTACTGTTTGCCCCCTTCAACATGGGCAGCACACAGAAGAAAGTCAATAAATATTTATTGAATGAGCGAACAAATGAATGAAAGGCTTCCCGAGCCATCATTTAAGGGCTATCTCCTTACACTGACATCACCAACCCTATAGAACAAAGGAGTTTAGTGCCCCCACTTAATTCATGGTCACTAAGATCGATGCCTAATTCACTTTTTACACACACACACCCTCCAAGACAAATACAAAGCCCAAATCATTTACAAAGTTCTAAGAAGGGAGAACAGATTTAACATCAAACACCATTTACATTCTGCTTCTGGGTATTTACTATTTCGGTTTTGTTTTACTTATCTCTAAACTAGCAAACACATTTAAAACCCTTAAGAAGATCCCAAAAATGGAATTATTAATAAACATCTTAAGGGGAAGTTGCAACACATCAACACGCCTCAGCATCACAGAATTCTAGAAAACGAAACAGCGTGTTAACCTATGAAACTGTGGTGATCTAATACAGGACTCTTGAGTCTCACAAATCCATCTCCCCCAACCCTGTGCATGTTGTGCTAAGTTGCTTCAGTCATGTCCAGCTGTAGCCCATCAGGCTCCTCTGTCCATGGGATTTACCAGGCAAGAATACTGGAGTGGTTGACATGACCTTCTCCGTGGAATCTTCCGGAATCTCCTGTGGCTCCTGCTTTGCGGGGGGATTCCTCACCATGGAGCCACCCGGGGAAGTCCTCCCCCAACCTCATCGATGCCTAATTCTGAGCACGGACACTCAAAGCTCTCTGGATTAGACTTTCCTTTTACCAAGAAAAAATAACCTTCCCAATGTAACAAATTCAGTGACTCCTCAGCTAATAAGCAGAGTTAGTCTTAACCTCATTTTTCTGCCAAGGCCAGGTGGCCATGTGAAAAAGAGTGTGTCAACACAAAAGCCCTGGCCCTTCAGAACACAGACTGTACTGAAGAAAAAGTGTCTTTGGTATGTATTGGTCCTAAATACTACTAACACATCACCTTACATAAGCAAGCAGCTAATGTTAGCTGACAGTGTTACTGTTTAAAGTAAGAATTACCTTCAGGAAAGATGCTCCCCATAAATCAAGTGAATTCCACAAATCCTCCTTGTCTTTATGGAATAAAAACACCATACTTTTATCCAGACAAGGCTTAACTGAGTGAAGGGTAAACTAGATTTTAATTCTCTGCAAAAAATATACTGGCTTCCCAGGTGGCTTAGTGGTAAAGAATCCACCTGCCAATTCAGGAGACATGGTTCAATCCCTGCGTCGTGAAGATCCCCTGGAGGAGGGCATGGCAACCCACTCCAGTATTCTTGCCTGGAGAATCTCAAGGACAGAGAAGCCTGACGGGCTAGTCTATGGAGTCCCAAGGAACTGGAGATGACTTGGCCACTAAATGTCAACAAAAAGTTAAAATATCCTTTAAAAAAAGATTTAACATCAAACACCATTTACATTCTGCTTCTGGGTATTTACTATTTCGGTTTTGTTTTACTTATCTCTAAACTAGCAAACACATTTAAAATCCTTAAGAAGATCCCAAAAATGGAATTATTAATAAACATCTTAAGGGGAAGTTACAACACATCAACACGCCTCAGCATCACAGAATTCTAGAAAACGAAACAGCGTGTTAACCTATGAAACTGTGGTGATCTAATACAGGACTCTTGAGTCTCACAAATCCATCTCCCCCAACCCTGTGCATGTCGTGCTAAGTTGCTTCAGTCATGTCCAGCTGTAGCCCATCAGGCTCCTCTGTCCATGGGATTTACCAGGCAAGAGTACTGGAGTGGTTGACATGACCTTCTCCGTGGAATCTTCCGGAATCTCCTGTGGCTCCTGCTTTGCGGGGGGATTCCTCACCATGGAGCCACCCGGGGAAGTCCTCCCCCAACCTCATCGATGCCTAATTCTGAGCACGGACACTCAAAGCTCTCTGGATTAGACTTTCCTTTTACCAAGAAAAAATAACCTTCCCAATGTAACAAATTCAGTGACTCCTCAGCTAATAAGCAGAGTTAGTCTTAACCTCATTTTTCTGCCAAGGCCAGGTGGCCATGTGAAAAAGAGTGTGTCAACACAAAAGCCCTGGCCCTTCAGAACACAGACTGTACTGAAGAAAAAGTGTCTTTGGTATGTATTGGTCCTAAATACTACTAACACATCACCTTACATAAGCAAGCAGCTAATGTTAGCTGACAGTGTTACTGTTTAAAGTAAGAATTACCTTCAGGAAAGATGCTCCCCATAAATCAAGTGAATTCCACAAATCCTCCTTGTCTTTATGGAATAAAAACACCATACTTTTATCCAGACAAGGCTTAACTGAGTGAAGGGTAAACTAGATTTTAATTCTCTGCAAAAAATATACTGGCTTCCCAGGTGGCTTAGTGGTAAAGAATCCACCTGCCAATTCAGGAGACATGGTTCAATCCCTGCGTCGTGAAGATCCCCTGGAGGAGGGCATGGCAACCCACTCCAGTATTCTTGCCTGGAGAATCTCAAGGACAGAGAAGCCTGACGGGCTACAGTCTATGGAGTCCCAAGGAACTGGAGATGACTTGGCCACTAAATGTCAACAAAAAGTTAAAATATCCTTTAAAAACAAAGAACAAACAAAACTTATTTCTCCCCATCACTCTGCTATGAAATTAAAAACTCCTTTTTCCCATGAAAGAAATAAATTATATAATATTTAAAGCAATAACATAAGAAATACAGTTACTTGCACACATAAGAGCAAATCAGAACATGGCAAGATAATCCCCATTAGACAAATATTAAGAAAAACACTAGTTGGTTTTATCTTTGCATTTCCATAATCTAAATAAAGTAAATCATCAAGGAACCAAATGCATTTTGAAGGCACAGGATATGCTATCTCATTAACAAATCCAAATACAAAATAATGAATCACTGACAGAACTCCTACCAACTTCCCTGTTGGCTCAGATGGTAAAGAATCTGCCTGCAATGCAGGAGACCTGGGTTCAATCCCTAGTCCGGGAAGATCCCCTGAGAAGGGAATGGCAACCCACTCCAGTATTCTTGCCTGGGAAATGCCATGGACACAGGAATCCACAGGTCACAAAGAGTCGGACACAACTCAGCGACTTACACCTTACCAACAAAATTCCAGCTTTTGCAGTTTGTGGAAATGAAGGAGAAACGGTGCTGACAGAGGAGGAAAGTGAGGAAAATTAGCAAGTGAGGTAAGAAATTTTCTGTCCTCTTCGACAACCCTAACAAGAACACAGAGTGGGACTGTCCCACAGCAGGAGGGAGGCGGAGACCCCATTAAGGAGGGGTGGCTGCCAGGGGCTGTGTTTGCTGTTTGGCTTCACACTAATTTCCAGATTCAGTGGGGGGAAAGAAATATTCTTGAAAGCTTGGCCTTAATGCACACTTGGAGAAATATTCTAAAAGGTAAATCATGCTCTTCTATGCCAAGCGGCTGTTTAAAAAGTAATTTTCCCTTTTCTATCTTCAACATGCATTCCTCTAACTGCTACAGGGAACTATATTTAAAGTGCAAATCAGGGCAGGCAATAGAAATAAGACCTTTCTCATGATAACTTTAGATAATTCAAGCCAACGAATGTGTGTGAGCACACCTACCCCGAGAGATACATCAAATT